TGGACAATGGGTATGGAGACACTCCTTCAGGTATACTGGGCTGAGGCCGTTTAGGGCTTTAAAGGTCAGCACCAGCTCTTTGATTTGTGCTCGGAATTGTGCTGTTTTAGTCACGTTTTGAAGGCACTCAAATGAAAACATTATGTTGTGGTATTTTCTTTCTAGTGAAGTATTTCTTGATTATTATTTTACTAAGTAAAATAAGCCCCACTTCCTCTGTGACGTTCCTGCCTGCCCCACCCCCCCACCCCGAGGGAAGATCTGTTGCAGGGATTGTATTCTAGGTGCAGAGACTCCCTATGTAATTTAGAATTTATGATGGGGGAAAGCTTTCATTCAGTTCTCATTTAAAGGCAAAATTACCTAATCCGCACTCTCTGAAACAACATGCAAACTGGAACACCGCCTCCTTCAGAGTTTGCACTTCTCCAAATGTTTTCAGCGCCTTTCACCAGCTCAAGTAATGTGTGCAGAAATACATGTGCTGGGGTAAAGCGTGCATTAAAATGCATATATTAATGAAAAGAACATAAAAGATGCATTAGATTGAGCCAAGCGGTCCTGCAGATATGTGTATTGTAGGCAGAATTGTACACAAACGAGTATATTCATAGAAATGTGCATGAAAAAGCTGATACATTTTCGTGAGCATTTTCAAAAAGTCACAAACTTGCAAGGAAATTTCAGCAACCGGAATTAAGATTGACCAGATGACAAATTAAGAGAACCAGAAATTGACCGACGTGCCCATCTCTCTTGAGAACCCTGGGAGATCAGGGCTGTATTTCAAATGATTCTCATCCTATGAGTAAGAACACCCAAGATGTGCTCTTGAAATGGCAGAATCTATTGATATTTCCTTACATCACCAAAATCAAGGTCATCTATAATCTGGAAGGGAAAGTATATTTCCATGTAAAACCAGATTCTCATTAGAACAGGCATCCCCAACCTGCGGCTCTCCAGATGTTTTGGACTACAACTCCCACCATCCTTGACCACTGGTCCTGTTAGCTAGGGATGATGGGAGTTGTAGGCCAAAACATCTGGAGGGCCGCAGGTTGGGGATGCGTGTATTAGAAGGTTCTGCCATATTTGTATTTCAATGATTTCCAGTAATTTTGGTTTCGTTGATGGATGACCTTTGCAGAGGGACAAGGGGGAATGTGACCTCACTCCTGCTTCTTGATCTCTCTTCAGCATTTGATATCTTTGGCCATGTTATCCTCCTGGAAATGGGATTTTGGGGTACTGTATTACAGTGGTTCCATTTGTACCATCAGGACCGAGTCCAGAGAGTCGTATGCTGAGAAAGGGGCATTGAAATCTTCAGTTACAACCGACCCTGTTCTTCTTCGGTTCTTAGTGCCTGAGCTATGCTTTCGATATCATTCATTTGGCCACATGAATTCAAAACCACCCTTTATGGCATAAAGTTTAAGCCCTCAGAACAAACAAAAAAGAAGCAGCTGGATAAATCTCTTGGCTCTGCCTTGTGTGCAATGCCTTTTTTTAACCTTTATTTAAGCTGTATGAAAGTCAATATGAGTAAATCAACACAATGCCAGGTGTACCTTTTCAGGAAGACTTTCTGCGTGGCGATTAAAAGAGCTCAATGTATTGCTTAAGGTAAGCCAGCAGCGATGTGTTGAATTCTAAGGGGTTGAGTCTTGGATCAGGTTTGGGTTTACCATGTGGAAGATAATATACAGGAGAGACGTGTCACTATACATCCAATGCTAGTAGCAATATAGGATTCCCACGCTCACACACACAAAGTAGACAACCCACAGCTCTAGACAGAAGTTGGTTATAAATATATTCCATTTTTTTCTAACTACAGTGGTACCTCTGGTTATGAACTTCATTCGTTCCAGAGGTCCGTTCTTAACCTGAAACAGTTCTTAACCTGAGGTACCACTTTAGCTAATGGGGCCAGCTGTGCTGCCGCTGCGTGATTTCTGTTCTCATCCTGAGGTAAAGTTCTTAACCCGAGGTACCACTTCCACGTTAATGGAGTCTGTAACCCGAAGTGTTTGTAACCCGAGGTGTTTGTAACCCGAGGTACCACTGCACCCCAGGGCTTTCAAAAGTGCCATGCGGAAGTTGTGCCACAAGATACTGAGATACCATTTGCATTACAGAAGATGTTCTTTGAGTGTGCCTGCCTCAGGTTTCTGAACTCACCTCCGTTGGCATTCAGATTTCCAGATTCTGAAGAACACAAACAGCCAACAGAATTCTACCTGTAAATTACCTTTAGGGCAGAGGTGAGGAAACCTGTGGCCTTTCAGATGTTGCTGGACACCAACTCACCCCAACCCCAGCTAGCATGGCCACTGGGGTATGAACCGCCAATGTTCTGTGAACATTGTTCGGTGAACCGCCCTGAGACCTCTGGGTATAGCCCAGTATATAAATTCAGTAAATAATAATAATAAGACAATAGTGCAGGGTAGGGCTGGGGGATAGCTGGTTTTCAACATCGCTATATATCACCACCTTAACGTCGCAATATCTGGTTTTCAACTTTCAATATCTGGTTTTCACCAGCTAAACATTGTGCTATACAGTAGTACCTCTGGTTGCGCACAGGATCCGTTCCGGAGCTCCGGTCGGATTCCGAGGAATTCACAACCGGAGGTGCCTGTTCTGCGCATGCACACAGCGCGGTAGAGCACTTCTGCACATGTGTACGGGGGCGAAACCCGGAAAAATACTTCCAGTTTTGCTGCGTTAGCATCCTGAAGGATATGCAACCAGAGGTGTCCAGAGGTACCACTGTACTAATACCACAATGTCTGAAGTAAGGATGGAGCTATGTAGAGGCATTGGCTGGCTTCACAGTCCTTGACCACATTGTGATTTTTGCATCACACACACACCATAATTCACAGTATATTGACAGGTCAAAAATTATGAAGCCAATATCATGATGTGGACTGCAGACCAGTTTTGGACAATATATTGATACATTGCCCAGCCCTAGTGCTGGGATTGTACTATGAATTGATGGCAAAAAGCAGAGACATCACCTTGCCGACAAAGGCCCGTATAGTTAAATCTATGGTTTTCCCAGTAGTGATGTATGGAAGTGAGAGATGGACCATAAAGAAGGCTGATCGCCGAAGAATTGATGCTTTTGAATTATGGTGCTGGAGGAGACTCTTGAGAGTCCCATGGACTGCAAGAAGATCAAACCTATCAATTCTGAAGGAAATCAGCCCTGAGTGTCACTGGAAGGACAGATCCTGAAGCTGAGGCTCCAATACTTTGGGTACCTCATGAGAAGAGAAGACTCCCTGGAAAAGACCCTGATGCTGGGAAAGATTGAGGGCACAAGGAGAAGGGGACGACAGAGGACGAGATGGTTGGACAGTGTTCTCGAAGCTACCAGCATGAGTTTGACCAAACTGCGGGAGGCAGTGGAGGACAGGAGTGCCTGGAGTGCTCTGGGGTCACGAAGAGTCGGACACGACTAAACAACAACAACAACAACAACATTGCCTAGCAATCTGAAGCACATGGAACCAGGCTGAAAATGGGAACCTGCAAAGCCACTTGGAGCCACATACAGGAGACATCTTACTGTATGTGGTGCCTGCTCTTCACTCGCAAAACACTGTCATCTAACATGTAGCTGTCTTTGGCACTGTGAAATAGAATCGATGGCCTTTGGGGGACCTTTCAGCTCTAGGGTTCTGTTTGAGCTGCTTCTCTGTGTAGCACTTGTCAGAATGGTAGCTGTAGCAAGGTGCTCCCTGAGGTATTAAACTGAGAGCACTCTTACAACACACTCAGAGTCACATAATTAACAATGTGTTTGCATTCGTATTATAATATCCCCAGGCTCCTTGTCATCTGAGTGTCTTTTTGAGTTATTTTAATTCGTTTATTCTCATCAATGTACTGTGCTTCAGAAATGTATACAGTGAGTTTATATAAATAATCAAGATGTTTCTGGAATTGGCTTTTTAGAGTGATGCAGCTTTTTAAAAAAATAATAAGGTAGCACAGCAGTTGTTAAGATCATACACTCTATAATATAAACAGCCTGTTTGAACTGAAAGCAGAATTCAGCATCTTATTATTTTAAACGCGTTTCTAGTCCTGAAGATAGACATGAAAGCATGTGAGCCGTGACTAGTACAATTTTAGAAGCTTGAAGAGATGGGATTGCAGCATGCAGAATGAATGTTTGCTCTTCCGGTTGCTAACAGAAAAACAGCGCCATGCAACGGTGCTTTAAAGGTAAAGGGACCCCTGACCATTAGGTCCAGTTGTGGCCGACTCTGGGGTTGCGGCGCTCATCTCGCTTTATTGGCTGAGGAAGCCGGCGTACAGCTTCCGGGTCATGTGGCCAACATGACTAAGCCATTTCTGGCGAATCAGAGCAGCGCACGGAAATTCCGTTTACCTTCCCGCCAGAGTGGTACCTATTTATCTGCTTGCACTTCATGCTTTCGAACTGCTAGTTTGGCAGGAGCAGGGACCGAGCAACGGGAGTTCACTCCGTCGTGGGGATTCAAACTGCTGACCTTCTGATTGGCAAGTCCTAGGCTCTGTGGTTTATCCCACAGCGCCACCCTAACTGTGCTTTAGCCTGCAAAAAAAACAACAACAACACACACACAAAAAAACCAGTTGTAGTCTCCTGTCTTTTCCTCAGTGCATTTTGACCTTATTTTACCATGGCATCTTAAAGGCTGCTTTGAATTCAGAATATCACTGTCCAGTCTATGGATCTGCTTCCAAAGTGGCGTTGGTTGCAGCCATTTGTCAAAGGCCACTTCTTTGATATTTAATTCCGTCCTTGACCGCGAAATGAGTTTGCAACATTGTGTTTCCTTGTCTTGTTTACGTAAGTTGATGATGCACTCCCCCCGAGGCTGAATTTTGTTTTGTTGATGCCAATATCAAATAGTGTGCCGTGCCTGATTAGTACTTTATTTTAATATTGTGGTGTGTTCCTTCCTTCCTTCCTTCTTTTTTTATTCAAGCTGGACAATGCAGATGAGCAAGCAGCCCAGATTAGACGCGAACTTGATGGGCATCTCCAAATGGCTGACCAAATGGCCAGAGTAAGTCTGGTGTGTTTTTCTTTCTAGCTTTAACGAGTAGAGTATTTTAGTGATCTGTTTAAGGTTGCAATCATGTTCATGAATTCAGTGGGACTGTCAGGATGCTATCAGTGGCTCCCGCTGGTTGCCCAGGAAAATATATAATAATAATAATGGTTTATTTATTATTTATACCCCGCCCATCTGACTGGGTTTCTCTAGCCACTCTGGGTGGCTTCCAACAGAATATTAAAAACACGATAAAACATCAAACATTAAAAACTTCCCTAAACAGGGCTGCCTTCAGATGTCTTCTAAAAGTCAGATAGTTGTTTATTTCCTTGACATCTGATGGGAGGGTGTTCTACAGGGCAGGTGCCACTACCTAGAAGGGCCCTCTGCCTGGTTCCCTGTAACCTCATTTCTTGCAGGGAGGGAACTGCCAGAAGGCCCTTGGAGCTGGACCTCAGTGTCCTGGCAGAAAGATTTTTATAAAGTATGTTTTTATATTTATGTAAGAGCAAATACCACGTAAGCAGGCTTATGTTGATCTGAAGAGGATTTTAAAGTAATGCATGCAGTCACTGAACAGTAACTTACACACCAAATTCTTAAAAATATTTTTCAAGGAAAGAAAATTTCCAAAGTTCGTATCGAAAGAAATGGAACACATGTATATAGAAGAATTGCGGTCTTCAGTGAATTTGCTAATGGCAAATTTGGAAAGCCTTCCAGTGTCCAAAGGTGGCCCGGAATTTAAATTACAGAAGCTAAAGCGATCGCAGAATTCTGCTTTCATGGACCTTGGAGATGAAAGTGATGTTCAGCTGTCGAAATCTGATGTGGTGCTGTCATTCACGTTGGAGGTGAGTATGCATATCGTGTAATGCTTGCTGACAGTTTAATTTGCTCTTTGTAATTCTAAGGCAACACTATTTGTGCAGCCCAGTCTTTAGCTGGCAAACACTCCATTGCAAATTTTGTGAAAATGTATGCAAGCCTCTGCTGTTATTGGTGGCTAAATGCATAAGAAAGATTTCAGGCTGTCGGTTAAATTTGGCTGGTGTAGCTCTTTTGTGTAAATGTCATGTTACCTTTTCCAAGGGTGTGATTCTAACTAAGGCAGCACAAAAGAATAATGATGATGATGGCTGGATCATATCATAAGTTCTTCATAAATAATAATATAATAATAATATTATAATAATAATTTATTATTTATACCCCGCCCATCTGGCTGGGTTTCCCCAGCCACTCTGGGTGGCTTCCAACAGAATATTAAAATACCTTGAGTTAAGAACTTATTTCGTTCTGGAGGTCCATTCTTAACCTGAAAGAGCCTGTTCTTAACCTGAGGCACCATTTTAACTAATGGGGCCTCCCACCGCCGCTGCGCGATTTCTGTTCTCATCCTGAGGCAAAGTTCTTAACCCAAGGTACTATTTCTGGGTTAGCGGAGTCTGTAACCTGAAGCGTCTGTAACCTGAGGTACCACTGTACAATAATCCAGTGTTTCCCAACCTTGTGCCTCCAGCTGTTTTTGAACTACAACTCCCATCATCCCTGACTAGCAAGACCAGTGGCAAGGGATGATGGGAATTGTAGTCCAAAAACAGCTGGAGGCACAAGGTTGGGAAACACTGCAATAATCTATTAAACATAAAAAGCTTCCCTAGACAGGGCTGCCTTCAGATGTCTTCTAAAAGTCTGGTTTCTCTCTTTGACATATGGTGGGAGGGCGTTCCACAGGGCGGGCGCCACTACCGAGAAGGCCCTCTGCCTGGTTCCCTGTAACTTGGCTTCTCGTAGTGAGGGAACCACCAGAAGGCCCTTAGCGCTGGATCTCAGTGTCCGGGCAGATTGATGGGGGTGGAGACGCTCCTTCAGGTCTATCTTCATAAACACATCAAAGTACTACACGCACTACATTCAATTTGTGATGATAGTAAGAAAGCGTCAGCACAAAAGTTCTTTCCTCACATTCTTCCCTTAGGTTTGAGGAGAATACCGTAACACCGGATTTTCACTTTTTGAAATATGGCAACCCCACCCAAGTGTCTAAAAGAATCAGGGCGGAGGAGGCTGAACATGGCACAGCTTCAAGTGGTCAGCTGCTGCTGCTGCGGAGGGGATGGGAAGGGGTTAAAGCAGCCCCCTGCCGGGCTTAGGAACAGAAATTATAGAATGTGGCAGTGGGAATTAGCGATAAGTGATAGCTATTGCCTCTTATCACAGGGTCGATACGGTTTTTGCTTTGTTTTTGGTGAATAGGTCTTGTGGGACGTAATATTTTAAAGGAAACACAAGCCTTTCTGCAGCATCCCTGTATTAATCTGCAAAGAGGAATCCACTTTTACCGTTCATCAATCCAATATATATATCTCATTTACCTTATTTTCCCTTGTATTGGACTAGGTTTTTTTGACACAAAAATCATGTCAAAAAACTGGGGTCGTCCAATACACGGATAGTGGCATGGGGGGAGATGCTGCTGGGGGGGGGAGTGATCTGGGGGCGCTGGCTGGCGGTGCGCAGCTTCTCCCAATGCCACAGCAAGTGGGGAGCGATCTGGGGGCGCTGGCTGGCTGGAGCGCAACTTCCCTCGATGCTGCTGTATGAGGGAAACACTCCCTATCTGTGCGCGGGAAAAGATCTAGGGAGTGTTTCCTGCCCGCAGCTGTTTTGGGTCATCTCCCCTCATTTTCTTAAAATTGAGTCCCCCAAAATGGGGGGGGGTCTAATAAATGGAGGAGTCTAATAGACGGGAAAGTACAGTATATCAGAGTGTCAGAAGTTGCTAGGCAAAGTGTATCAAAACTGATGTCCTATCAGGGATTAAGTTCTGATGGGCACCATGGTAATGTTTCATAAGGAGACGGCATTGTTCTTTCCCAGACATTCCCACCACAGATGACAGCATCCTTGCAAGGGGGCATGGGGCGATTGCTTCACAAGCTGGCTGTGTTGTGAGAGGATTTTATTTATTGCCCTTTGAATCAAAATTGTTGAAAGTGGTTGTAGGGGTAGCTTTTCCATAATTATGAGCTTTGGTTTCTGACCAGTCTGAATTGAGAGAGGCAACACAAAAACCGTCTGTAAGCCAAGAAGAGTGTAGTGGGGTGTTGTTGTTTTTTGTATCTTAGGACTATCAAAATCTTTCTTTTGTTAATAAGGAAGAATGGCTTAGGAGACAAATGCTCACTCTAATTAAAAGGGGAGAAATGATCATAACATAGCTTTGTTGTGTGAAGAGAAAGCCCAAAGTCATTTAGAAATAGGATCCTTCTGCTAGGTTTTCATTTGTGCCACAAATGTGAATGTACATACAGTGGTGCCCCGCAAGACGAATGCCTCGCAAGACGAAAAACTCGCTAGACGAAAGGGTTTTGCGTTTTTTGAGCTGCTTCGCAAGACGAATTTCCCCATGGGCTTGCTTTGCAAGACGAAAAACGAAAACGTCTTGCAAGTTTGTTTCCTTTTTCTTAACACCGTTAATACAGTTGCGACTTGACTTCGAGGAGCAACTCATAGAACGCGGTGTGGTAGCCTTTTTTGAGGTTTTTTGAAGACTTTGGTGATTTTTGAAGCTTTTCCAAAACTTTCCCGACACCGTGCTTCGCAAGACGAAAAATTCGCTAGACGAAAAAACTCGCGGAACGAATTAATTTCGTCTTGCGAGGCACCACTGTAGTCTTATTAAGTCGGTGTTCCCCAAACCTTTGCTACCTAGACTGTATTATTTAGTACTCTGGGATAAAATGGAAGACATGCTTCAGTTCACACCCAGAGAAACATAAAATAAGTCAATTTGCTTCCAGAACAATATGCTAAGATCTTCCATGCAACTGCCCCTTTGGGCAGGTTTTTGGATAATGGTTCTGAGACCCCCTCCTTCACCTACGGTTGGAGTAGACTGTTTCTGGGGATAGCAGTGGACTCTGGGCCTATTTCCACTTGTCTCCTTCTGCACATGTTGACTATTACGTATCCTGTCAACACCATTTTATCTGCGTGTTTTGCTTAACCAGTTTTAAGTTGTGCTAAATACGTGTGTGTGTGTGTGTTTAACAAAATTGAAATATTTGTGCAGTAGTCTTTAAATGAAAAGTGAAGTAATTTAAAAAAAATTAATAAATCTGCTTTTCTGGTCAGTATTCTTTTAGCACTGTGTTTTAAAAAATTGGGGGTAGGCAATACAGTGGAACCTCGGTTTTTGAACGTAATCCGTTCCAGAAGACCGCTCGACTTCTGAAACATTCAAAAACTGAGGCGCAATGGGCGGTTGGCAAATTGCATTGAGAAAAACGAAAAACATGCAGCAGAAACTGTTTGACTTCTGAGGAGAGTTTGAAAACGGAAGCAATGACTTCTGGGATTTCGGCGTTCGAAAAATGAAGTGTTCGGCCTCAGAGATGCTCAAAAACCGAGGTTCCCCTGTATTTTAATTCTAAAATACATTCACCTGCCTCAGAAAAACAAGTTAAGTAATTATGTAAAATAGCCAACTGGGAGTGCTCTAGTGAATATTGTAGACTCTAGTTTTAAAATTGTGTCCTCAGAACTATCTTCTCTGTTCCTGCATGGCACCTTGTCCATGTAATTCCAGACTGGTTAAGTAATATTGGGAGTTGCCTAATCCAAAACTGGCAAGGCATAGTTCATCCTATTTATTCATGTGAACTGAAGCTGATAGCAGCTTTATCTGCAGTAAATGAGCTAAAATGTCTGTGAAGTTTCCCCCAAAACTGTGAGTAAGATGTAACTGTTCCCGAGAGAGAGAGAGAGAGAGAAAATTGTCTTAGATGTTTTGTTTGTTCTTTTCTTCCAATTTCTTAGATGTCAGACTGTAACAATGATGTGCCACTTTCCACTTTGGGAAACGCGTATGCAAGTTGGCCCTCTCAACGTGCAGATTTCTGTTAAAAAGAAGCGGGGGTGGGGAGGGGGGAGGAGGAGAAGCTTTGTCCGAATAACATCAGACACTTGTTAGGCTTCGGAGAAGTGCATGTGATGGAAAATCACATGCATAGCCAGGTATTAGTTAGCAGTTGCTACTCTGGAAAAAGACAAGCTATTTAATTAAGGAGGCCGCTTGGCGCTGGTGGCGCTGTGGGTTAAACCACAGAGCCTAGGGCTTGCCGATCAGAAGGTTGGTGGTTCGAATCCCCGTAACGGGGTGAGCTCCTGTTGCTCGGTCCCTGCTCCTGCCAACCTAGCAGTTCGAAAGCACATCAAAATGCAAGTAGATAAATAGGTACCGCTCTGGCAAGAAGGTAAACGGCGTTTCTGTGCGCTGCTCTGGTTTCACCAGAAGCGGCTTAGTCATGCTGGCCACATGACCCAGAAGCTGTACGCTGGCTCCCTCAGCCAATAAAGCTAGATGAGCGCCACAACCCCAGAATCGGCCACAACTGGACCTAATGGTCAGGGGTCCCTTTACCTTTACCTTTATTCTGGAAAAAGACAAGCTATTTAATTCAGGAGGCCACTTGGCTCTTCAGCACTGGGAACTGCTGTAGCAAATGCAAAAGCAGAGCCCCCCAATTATTACATCCATCCAGAGGCAGAGCTACAGTAGCATAGTGAAACTGGAGCTTTGGGCAGTTGGGCTAAGAGTCCACTTTGCACCTAGCCCATTTTGTGGTGGTGCATTTTGTGGTTCATGTTGTTCTTCCACCATGCTACTGAAGCCTTTTGCAGAGCGAATGCATGAAAAAGACCCCAGCTATGCAAATAGCTCTTCCTCTCTGTGAACAGTGCCATTTTGGTTTTTGGCTACTGTACCTTATTCCATCCCAAAATTGAAAACAAGCCTTAAAGGAAAATCTGGTGTTGGGCCAAAGTATCACAGAGGTAAGTTGAAGTGGAGTGAAAACGCCTACCAAAGTTTTGGATTCTTGATTCAAGCTAAGACACTAAGACGGCGTTTCCCAAACTTGGGCCTTCAGCTGTTTTTGGACTACAACTCCCATCATCCCTAGCTAGCAGGACCAGTAGTCAGGGATGATGGGAATTGTAGTCCAAAAACAGCTGGAGTGAAGGGTTTCCCAAACTTGGGTCCAACACATAAGATTTTGGGTGGGTTGAGGTTCTGGTTAGTTCTTACCTTAATATGTAAGGTATTTTTGACTGAGGAAAAAGCCTCGACTGACAGGAACAGGCTTCCTTCCTTCCTGTAATAGGGAATGGTGCTACAGCATGTCTTTTTCTCCAGTAAAAAGAAGAAAAAGCAAAAACAAGCCCTAGGCCACCTCATATTAAGGCGAGGTAGCCAATGTAGTGTGCTGTAGATGTTCTGGACCATAACTCCCATCAGCCCCAGTCAGCATGGCTAGTGGTCCCTGCACACCCTGCAAAAAAAGGCCCTAGAATTTCATCCCCTCAAAAAGTCACCAAATATTTCCCCCACTTTCAGTGGAGGTTGAATGGTCCTGCAAAAATATGGAAGGATATTCAGTCCGGGTTCGGTATGATTAATCAAAAACTTCATGGAAGCAAATCTCTCTGAAACCAATACAGATGCTATAGTCCCTAGGTTTAATTTGCTTTGGACGTTGACTTAATTAGTTTCAGTCTTGCTTTGCTGGTAAAACAAGTCCTTGTTGTGAATGAGTGCTAGTTGAAAGTAGCTTATGTGGTCTTAGGGTAATGACTGTATCTCAGGAATACATGCTAAAATAAAATTAAACATGGCAATATCCACATAAGTTTGTGTCAAGCACTCAACCTCTTCACTGATAGCAGGTTGGATCCAAAGATGTTCCCTTGCGTACTTTGACACATTTCTATCAATAAACTTGTATATCATAAGAGGTTCTTCATGTGCACCCATTCATATCCCTGAAGTTCATTAGCAGCACAAGTATTTCTCAGAACCTTAGTGTTCAGTCTAACTAGTTTTTCAAATTTTTATTCAAGGACATCACTGGTGTTGAAGGATTGCATCAAGTTATGAAAAGGGAGAGTAGCTTCAAAACTTCACATTTTTTTAATCCACTCCTAAAATGTTTTTGAGCAACAGCATGGGCACAATTGATAAACTAGTTTTTGTTGTTAAAGGTGAACTACACACTCAGAGCAACCCACTATAGAAGTGGTACAAAGGCCATAAAGTGTTTTTTATATATTAAATTGCCTTTGAAACTCTATTGTTGTGTTTTGTGTTTTTCTGCACAAGTGCTATAGAGTTTGCATCTTAAAATGGAAAATACTTGTTTTGTCCTAGTTTGGTAGCTTAAAAGCACTTTGCAGTACAGAAGCTTAGAATACAATTTTGTATGTTCGCTGCACTTTTCAATAATATAACAACAACTTCAGGGTGTTGTTGGTGATCTCTTTTGCATACCACTAGATTACATTAGATTAAATGCATCTTTCAGGATTGTAGACATAGCCTTGATCTTCAGATCCTTGCATCCACCAAACAGATATTCTTGTGCTATCGGTGTTCACAGTTGTGATCAATCATTGGATTGGGCTTCATCCTAGAAGGATAACTGTCAAACCTTACCTGATAGGCGCCAAGTCTGGACCCAGTCTGGTACAGATCACAGTACACACAACCACGTATGCTGTGTATGTTTGTTGCTGCTGTTTTATTCCAGAGCACCACTTAGAATGGAGGATTATCTGCACACATAGGCCTGCTTCTGGATTCGCGACGTACAAAGTTCGCATTTTTACAGACCCATCTGAGTCCTCCTTTTTTATCCTTTGTGATAATGTGGTTTACATGTGTGCTGCTTTTGTTTCAAGCGGTTGATGTTCATTTGCTGTGTCTTGTTTTCCTTGTTCAGATTGTTATAGCAGAAGTCCAAGGCTTGAAGTCGCTTGCTCCCAACCGCATTGTTTACTGCACGATGGAAGTGGAGGGAGGAGAGAAACTCCAGACAGATCAAGCCGAAGCGTCAAGACCACAGTAAGCGTTGCGCCGGGATGGTTATTCACAAGAAATGTGTGTTCCACATGGTGGGGAAACTGTGCCCCAAAGTAGGCACCAAGGGTTGTTCGCATGACCTTGCTATGCCTGTCATGGGGTTGTCTGCTTTGGGGCCAGGGGCCTGGTAGGAATTTTGTCCATTTGGCTGATTGGCTGGTGCCATTTGGTTTTTGCCTACTGCGTAGCAAATCGTCACAACTTGTAAGGTTGCGGTTAGGCATTGGTTTGGGAATTGGTTGGTGGATTGGTATGGATTTGGCTGTGCCTGCCCCTCCAAAATGCTGCTGCTGCAAGGGTTTTCCATTAAAGGAACCCATGGGCTCACCATGCTTTTGTCCAAACCCCTGGCAAGGGGCTAGGGCCACGCAAGAGCCCCTGGGAGCATTCTGGGGAGAGGTGAGGCATGGTTCCCAGTCCTGTCTCTCTCCCTGGGTGACTCACCCTTTCTGACTTTGCGGGGGGTGCGAATGTCACAGCTGTCCCTGTGTGGGGTCAGTTAGTGCTACCAATGCCTAAGCCAGTGTTTCCCAACCTTGTGCCTCCAGCTGTTTTTGAACTACAACTCCCATCATCCCTGACTAGCAAGACCAGTGGCAAGGGATGATGGGAATTGTAGGCCAAAAACAGCTGGAGGCACAAGGTTGGGAAACACTGGCCTAAGCAACCACTCACATTGCTGTAATTTTAATAAAGTTGTGGCCAAAATTATGCCAAAAACCTTAAACAAAAATCAAGTGTCATTGTGTTTCTTTTGGGGTGTCTTGGGGACCTCGACGCGCAACTACATTCAAACGTATATCACTAGCTTGGGAAGGGCACAGCGGTAGAGCATCTGGATTCCCATGCCCAGTCCCTGACATCTCTAGGTAGGAATCGGGAGTGTCCTCTTTTTATAACCCTGGAGAGCTGCTATGAGCCAGTACTGAGAGAATACTGAGCTAAAAGGACCATCAGCCCAACTCTGTGTAAGGCAGCTTCCTATGTTCTCCCTTGCCATCCTGTCTGAATGCTGAAATGTTTCAGAAGTTGTTCTCGGGGTACCACCACTAGAGACAAAGTGAATGGCAAAAGGGACAGGGGGAACTTGTGTATTGTGCAGTTAATCAGTGCATATTTTTCCATGTTTTCCACTGACCAGAGATGCTTCAGTTATCCCTCCATTACCTTTAGTTTGGAATCTTACCTTAAACAAATTCAGACCAGAGTCAAGTTTTATACCCTGATAAAGATTCTTGTCCATTAGAGGATAACATGCCAAAACTTTTCTTATTAAGATTTGATAACCAAGGCACTATTTGGTTACAAGGAAGAATAGGTTTGCATTTTAATACAATATGTTTGCACTCAGTGCATTAAAGTATGTGTGAACCGTGCAACTGATGTTTCTCCAGTCTAAAAACCCCCTCTAATATATATGTTTTTCTAAACACAAGATGCGTCTTTTCTAGGTTAGCAGGAGGGTGAACTGGGGAGGTTCAGCAAGTGCAACCAGTTTATAATTAACGCTCCATAATCAGTCCTGACAAAGCCTACTTATCCGCTGAACATCTTCTAATTGTACGATCCACTTATTCCAGGTAATATTTGGAGAGTACAATCAGCAAAAGGACTTGATGATGCCACCTATCATTTGAAGTAGAAAAGTTGGCGTACGGGTAGATAATGAAGTGTTTATTTGGTTGATGAGATTGACCTCTGGGTTGCGCAGTTTTCTTCAGAGGCCTCTCTCAGCTGTTAAAATGTCATCCAGGGTCTTTTGCAAATGTGTTTTAAGAAAGACCAATGAAAGTTTTTCCTGCTCCCTAATTCGCCCTGTAAAACAATTGGAAAATTGTGGTCAACGAGCTCCCCAGACGACAGCTACAAAGCAGGCACTTGTTCAAAACAAACACAAAAACCCATTAGGAAGTATTGTAAGCGCATATATAGGATTATGGACCACTCATTTATGAAAGAATAGTACAAATGAAGATATCAAGAGGATCGGAAAAAATAAGAGGGGGAAAACAGAAAAGAAAGAGAAAAAACAAAAGAAATAGAGATAAAAGAACAGTACTTCCACAACCCTTTCTGTCAACTGTTAGTACGGCCATTGTTTATATTATTTAATATAAACCCACCAATAAATGTTTCTGGCTGTAATTAAAATTTCAGGTTTTGTTGCTACTCTGCTAAGTGGTATTTTTTCCCTTCTCGGTCCAACCTTCCTCTTTCATCACTCAAAAAGTTCAAAATGGCTTCTCATCAATTAATTTAACATATTTCCAGATTGTATTACTCCTGATCTTGTGACAAGCTTCTCTCTTCCCCCCCTCCTTTTTTATTTATCTTTCTTTTAAAAAAAGAGTTTCACCAAATCTGAGTAATATAGCCCATATTTCATTGCCTGTTAAGTCATATGTCCCCATCCTGAATTTCTGTGTCTCCTACGTTTTAGATGTCTGCTAGCACTTCAGCTTGTCCTTCTTTATCAGAGTATTCTCTACTCTTACTGAAGGAGGTCTTGCTCAGCTGCTCTCAGAGGTCCTTAGAAGCAAAGATTCCAAAGATTGAACTTGGAATCTTCTGCATGTGGTGCTCATAAGCTCTTCCGTTGAGTGAGAGGCCCCTTGTTTTATGCAGGTTATCCATGCTTCTGTGATTACTTTCCGTTTAGTGGCAACTGAAGTGTCAAGTCAGGGACAGGTACATCACATTTGCCTCTGTTAATATAACTGGAGAGCAGCATTCGGGAAAATAGTACAGGAACAGCTGAATGTTGAAATGTTCAAAATGGCTTCAGAAAGCTAATATAAATTATAACCTTTTTCAACACAATGGCCGCATTCCCTTGGAGGCAGACTAATGGTGGGCAGAAGCAAAATTAGGCAAATAAATAAATGTGAATTTTAGCTTTCTATGGGTGGCACTGTGGGTTAAACCACAGAGCCTAGGACTTGCTGATCAGAAGGTTGGTGGTTCGAATCCCCGCAATGGGCTGAGCTCCCATTGCTCGGTCCCTGCTCCTGCTAACCTAGCAGTTCGAAAGCACATCAAAGTGCAAGTAGATAAATAGGTACCACTCCGGCGGGAAGGTAAACGGCGTTTCCGTGCACTGCTCTGGTTCGCCAGAAGCAGCTTAGTCATGCTGGCCACATGACCCGGAAGCTGTATGCCGGCTCCATCGGCCAATAAAGCAAGATGAGCGCCGCAACCCCAGAGTCGGTCACGACTGGACCTAATGGTCAGGGGTCCCTTTACCTTTACCTTTACATTAGGCTAGTTTTTACACCCAGTGCCAGCAGGCACCAAGATGCCCTCAGTTGCACCCATAGCTAGGGGGTCACAGACTGCACATTTGTTTGTTTGTTATGTGTGTGAGAGAGAATGTGTGTATCTAGCCCTGCTAGAAAGAAAGTTACAAAGCAAAATGTGCAGGTAACCTTCTAAGTACCCTTTCTGTCTGAAGCGCTAATCTGGCTGCTCCAATCTGTCAGTGTTTTTAGTTGGTGAGTAGGGTGATGTATCGATACATTAGTTGGTGATGTATCAATACATTGCCCCCAATCGGTTTGAAGTCCACATTGTGATAACGGTTTCATAATATTTGACATGGTGATATATTGTGAATCACAATGTTTGTGTGTGTGCTATGTAAAAAAATTGTGATATGGGGAAAACCATGAAGCTTATCATTTCTCTCGTGATTCCTGCCCCATTGCTCTGTACTATAAAATAATAGTTGTAACAGTATTAAAGGTAAGCTATGCAAGTAAGTTAATATTAAAGGTAAGGAAAAGTATATTGGTGTTAGAACCCTAAGTAGTAGCAGTTGCCAAGACATTACCCTGTTTGCCCCTGCATAAAAGGTAAAGGGACCCCTGACCATTAGGTCCAGTTGTGACCGACTCTGGGGTTGCAGCGCTCATCTCGCTTTACTGGCTGAGGGAGCCGGCGTACAGCTTCCAGGTCTTGTGGCCAGCATGACTAAGCCACTTCTGGTGAACCAGAGCAGCGCACGGAAATTCCGTTTACCTTCCCGCCGGAGCAGTACCTATTTATCTACTTGCACTTTGACGTGCTTTCAAACTGCTAGGTTCGCAGGAGCAGGGACCGAGAAACGGGAGCTCACCCCGTTGCGGGGATTCGAACCGCCGACCTTCTGATCAGCAAGTCCTAGGCTCTGTGGTTTAACCCACAGCTCCACCCGCGTCCCATTTGCCCCTACATAATTACATCCTTATTTTAGACATTATGATATTTTGTTGTATCACAATGTTTAGCTGATGATATATCATGATATTGAAAACCAGATATCACCCAGCCATATTGGTGAGCGAAGTCAGAGAGCTGTGATCGATAAGCAAGTTGTTTGGATAGCTGGTAATAGGAATCACTGGAGTCCTAAAGAGCTGTTGTTTCCTCCTCCACTTTTGTGCATTTTCCCTGCTTGTCTTATTTTCTAGTCCTTGGAATCTCCGTAGTTTGCTCTATCTTCCCCCCTAGCAACCAGGATGCAACTTTCCTGCAGTATGCTCATCTGAGATCAGGTAGTCCCTAGAAATTACTTTCTGCAAATACTACGACACAATAAGTGTGGGTGGATGTTAAAGAATCCCTTCTCCCTGCAAAATGAAAATATGAAAAGTCTGCAACGAAGCGTAGGCAAGTCCTGTTCTGCAGGAGCTAAAAACCAGATACGCATTTAGAATCTATGGTACTGTATAGTTAACTTACATTGCAATGGTATGTATGTCTACTCAGAAGTAATTATCTCCATGTTTAATGAGGCTTAGCACAGGTCACTGGGCAGAGGATGGCAAACTAGATTTTGGTTTAGGGTTGGCATTGGGGGAAAGCAGTTTTCTTCTTCTTTTAAGCATTGTATGGCAGGCAGAAATTTAACAGATTAAGCATTTTCTAGCATAGAAATACAATTATGGAAAAGCTTTGCCAAGATTGTACAGCTGTTTTGTTTTATGCTACCATAAAATTCTACG